CCCAAAAGTAAGAAAAGCGCGCTTGGGGTAGTACCAGCGCATGCAATCAAGTTCACTCTCAGGGTCGCGCTCGCGCTCCACCACAAGTCCGATGGTGTTCTCAAACCGCTGCGACGACAGACACGGGAACACGGGAAAGAGGGCGTTAGTAGGCCGGTACGTTCAGGTGCCCGGGGGAGAAGGACCTCACGAGACGCGTACCTGAGGCGAGTGGGGAACACGCGGAGGCAGCAGGAAGAATTCTCCTTCGGCAATAGGGATGTCCTTGTGGACACCGTGCTCCACCACCTTGAGCACCATGCCTCCCTTCACCTGGTAGAACAACTCCTGGCTCCATGCAGCGTGCACACCAACGCGCACCCTCGGTCATGAGCATTTGGCCTTACAAGGGGTGTGGCCTCTCGCGCGTACCTCGCCAGCTTCCATGTGGTAGTCCGACCGCACGTTGGGTCCACCCACAGCCATCACCTTCAACTGCCTGCCGACGTGGCCCAGCGGTGCAGTGAAAGAAGAAGAAGATCAACAAAAGAGAAAGATTGGAGATGAAGATTAAAGGTGGTAGCGCTACACACCCGCCATAGATGAGCTTGTTGCACACGGGAGGAAGCAGGGCAGCCTTTGCTCCCTCGAGCCACTTGTCAAAGTCAATCGGTTGCGGTGCTCCTTCCATCGTCTGCGCTTGGTTGGATCTGGATCTACTACTATCACCCCCCCCCCAAAGAACTGTGACGGGAGAACACTCGCGAAAAGTCGAGGAAGACCCAAAGTTTTTTTGTCGTCAGCACAAGACGATCATGTCGTCAGGTGTTCATCATGAGGTACTGGACGGCCTTTTCTTGGTTGTTTTCACACATCAGGAGGGCTTCTCGTATGCGAAGATCACCAAAGCCGAGCTGAGCCAATGCCTGCGCGATAGAAGGCACTCGCGTTAGGTGTGAATCCCTAAAAAAAAAAGGGCCCACAGCTAAGGTGCGCGCGTACTGCGTGAGCGGTGAGGAAAGAGGAGGCCTTCTGGATGTCATTGTCGAAGAGCATGAATGCGTCAAAGATTTCGGATTCCTTGAGCCCTGCCGTGATCAGCTTGTCCAGCTCTTCCAGATAGCTGCTCAGATTATTAGGGTCGAAACGTTACAGTTTAGCCGCGGTTGAGCAGAGCCATTCGTGGCGAGGAGAGGTAACAACGTACATGATCGCTTTCTGTACATCGCCGTCTTCGTGCAGTAGGAGAGCTTGTTTGATGCGCTCCGGTGAGAATCCCATTTCCACAAGCTTGTGGAAGTTCGCTACGAACGTGACAATCTGTGGGGAAGGGAAGAGGCCCAACGTTACTGAGTGAGAAGGCAAGCCCGAAACGGCAACACTTCGCAGCCACGGCCTAATCGCTGTGCCGCACGCACGCACCTTGTCGACCTGGTTGTCGGAGTAGATTTCGAGGCCAAGTGCCACGATTTCCGGCTTGAACCGCATCTCGAGCAGCTGGATGAATATTGCCCTCTGAACACCCACACGCGCGTTGATCAGTCGCAGAAGAGACGAGAAGGTTCAGCAGCGCTCCAGGTAGAGTGAATGGCCGGAGGGAGCACGCACTCGTTCGGGACTGGCGAGAACTGGGTACTTTCGCTGATAGTCCTCCATCGTCATGCGCGGAGGAGCGGCGAACCGAGCCGACGGAGTGGTGTGATTTACAGTCGCAGTCGGGATCGACGGCGGTGTGGCCACGGAAGGCAAAAAGGCCGAGGGTCGCGGCATGACGCCGGTCGGGAGGGGCAGCGCGGGGCTCTGTACAGTGGCCGCTGATGGGACAGAATAGGGAGTATGCACGCTCCGTCCGGGTAGGCCGGAGGGGGCATAGGGGTGTCGAGCGGGTGTGGCCGCCGTGGTGGTGGTGAAGGCCGGATGGTAGGGGGGATGGAATGTTGGAGCAGCAGAGGGATGCTGCGGAGGGCCGGGAAACTGGACAAGTGATGCCGACGCCGAAGCCGCCGGCGTGAGCTGACCGTTGGTGTAGCCTGAGGAGGGCGCGGGGAAGTGGATGAGACCCGCTTTAGATGGCGATGCGGCCGATTGAGGTACGGAGCCCGGATATGGAGGCGGTGGCTCGGCCGTTTGCGCTGGACGGCCGGTGCGAGCGGCGAGGCGCGGAGAAGGGAAGCTGAGATCGAGAAGGGCTTGTTCGTCCGTCGTTGGTGTAGACGAGGCGTGAGCTGCTCCAGGAAATGTGGAGGCCGCTTGGTCCTCACCCTCTTGTTGGCGCTGGGGCTGCTGCTGCTGCTGTTCGACCCACTCGGTGATGGCGATGTCTTGCCGGCGCTTGGCCTCAGCCTCGACGAGCTCGCGCTGCTGGCGATATCGTTCTTCCCTCGCAGACGCGACGTGCTCCTGATAGAAAAATGAGTACTGTGAATGCTGCGGTGCGTGTGTGTATGCGTGAGTGCGTGTGTGCGTGCGTGCGCGCGCGATGGGGAGGGAGAGAAACCTGCTTTTGCCGATCGAGTTTGGCCTCGGCGACTATTTCGACCTCGAAGCAGGGATCGTAGGTCGGCCTCTGCTTCACCCTACCCTCCAACTCCTTCATCTTGTTCAACAGCCCACGCAACGAGTCGGCCTGGCCAATCACAAATGGGAAGCGCGCACAAGAGAGAAAGAGAGAAAGAGAAAGAAGGAGAGCATCAGCACCTCGAAGAGAGAAACGGCGCACGGAGAGGACCGGTTAGGAAAGTGAAGGAGATGTACAGGAGGAGATGGCGTGGCCAGAGCGACGAGGCGAGGGTTCAACCGAAAGGAACACCCCTGCAGCGGAGCGTGCGCCGGGGTGCGCTGGGTCGCGGTACCAGCTGCACTGGGTTGTGGCGTGGCGCCAGGGCCGGCGGCGAGGGAGAGAGAAGAGAAGCCGATGCGAGGGTAGAGTGGTTCTGCAGCGGCGGCAGAGGACGTGCCCGCCGTTGGTCGGCGATAGGGCGGCAGAACCTCCTCCCGAGTGGATCTGGAGGAGTTGTGTGAAGATGGGGCAGGCATTGATGAGGGCGAAGAAGAGGAGGAGGACAAGGAAAAGGGGTAGGAAGAAGCCGCAAGAGGGAAGGCAGGCGGCTTTGGCACCGCCCTATCGTCATGATCGGCGCCGACCCAAAAGAAGGCCCCTTCGTCGATCTCCTCCTCGGCGGTGTCCATGGCATCGCTCAGCTTTTTCTTTTTGTTGGAATCAGATGGTGGAGGTGATGGCGACGTTGTTGTGCTTCGATCTGGTGATCTGCCCGAATCCGTATTTTTGTTCTTCGTTCCCGTAAGGTGGGAAAGCCATGACATGACGCCCACTGACCAGTACTGCTTGGTGATGTGCTTGCTCGGTTGCGATGATGATGGGGTGTGCGTGGCGTGGCTTTGTTTCGCCTTGCCGCCTGGATTTTCCGGCCACATTTCCCGCCTGCTCTCTTCTGCTGTTGGCCGTTTGACGAACAGAGAGAAAAACCAGGGTTGTCGTTGTTGACCATCTGCGCTCTCGATTTTCAATCGCAAGCGGGAAAGAGCTCACATCAGGATCCTCACATTGGAGGGCCATCGTAATGCAACACGCTGCCGGGGTCTATGCGCATCCTCAGCATCAGCAAACCGCACACCTGAGTGGAGATTTTGCGGGGGCGGGCCTCCCCAGCATGCTGCTACCGCCCCATCAATCACCAGCCGCTATGCCCGGCCCGCTTCATCTTCCCTTCAAATCAGCATCACCACCACTGGGCGCGCGGCCTTCCCACCTGTCGGGTGGGTTCGCTCATTCCAACGCTGCCACAAACATGGACGAAAATCGTTATCGCTACCACGTCTATGAGCGCGAGAGCACCTGGGCAGAGGTACGGCCACACTGCGGCACCCCCTTTAACTGATTTGAAGCAAGAGGGACATCGGCGCCGGATTAACACCCATGTGTGTGTGTGTGTGCATGCGTGCGTGCGTGGTACACTACATGAAAAGGTGGAAAAGCTGAGCGGCTACATCTCTCGCTATGCCGTTGCGGAAGCGGCGAGCGCCACTGACATCTCCAAGGAGAAATATTATGATCTCTTCAACATCGGCGTGCACTTGCTGAAAGCGATTGAAACGCTTGACCCCGACCGGCTCGTGCTCAGAACAGAGCAGGTAACCTGCCCCTCCTCTTCTTTTTTATTTGTATTTTTTTGGGACTAAAAAATAAATAGGGATAAATAATCATTCCTCTCCCCTATCTTCTCCCTCCACGGTGGTTGTTGGTGCACTCAGTGCTTTCGCTCACTTACGCGCGCGTCTGTGATGCATGCTGCAGTTTGCCGGTTCGTTGTCATCACCTCCGCAACGACCACTCGGGCAAGCACCCACGCAGGCATACGGAACAGCATCACACCAAGCAATGACCTCCAACGCCTCGTTGCCACTGACTGCTGGAACCAGCCCACCTTTTCCACAGCCTCGATCCATGTCCCCACACATGCACTCCTCCAACCCAGCAGACTCGCCTAACTTCCCGAATCGGTGCGCGTAACCTCCAGATCTCGAATTGTCGTGGTATTGCGGCTGTGTCTTGTCTTTGCGTATACACACGTAATGCTAATCAGTGTTCGCTTTCGCAAATGCTGCAGCTACATGCTCGAGCCTGGCGGCGGGGGTCTGGCCAAGGTGCCTCCGACGGTGCCCATGGGCGGCATCGCCCGTTACAACCAATCGATCGTGTCCGGGATGCTGTCCATGGGCCAACCAATGGCGGGGCAGCCACCCGCGGTACCGTTCGGTAAGCAACCTATCGAGCCTGAGCTTCAGCCCGCGGCACAGCAGGACAACCTGATGAGCGCAGAAGCAGGCGACAACCCCAGCGGCAGCGGCAGCGGCAGGAAAAAGGTACTTTCAAATGGCATTTTCTTGACGCCCATAGTGGGGAGAGAGAGAAACCCCATTGTTGTTGACATCTGTTTGCAACGGCAGAGGCGACGAAAGGTGCAACGCCGAGATCTGCATTGCCATGTGTGCGGAGTGACAGATACGCCTGAATGGCGACGCGGTCCGGATGGTGACCACACGTACAAACTCCTCACATCCCCCAGTTCGCGCTGAGTTGGTGTTTTTGCGCACATGCTACACTAGACTCAACACTTACATGTGTGTCGTCATCCATCTCAATCGATAGATTATGCAACGCTTGTGGCCTGCACTACGCAAAAGCGCTCAAGAAGGAGAAGGAGGCACGGGAGAAGGAGGGACGAAAGCATAGCATAGACATGCTGCTCAACAATCAGGTGTGTACACGCGCGCACGTCCCCCCCTCTCGTTGGTGCGTGCTGACCATGGAAATGGTGTGGTGCAGGGACGAGAAAACGCGCGACATGGCACGGATAGCAAAACAACCAGCAACGTTGGTGACACCAACAGCGAACTGAGCTGAACGCATGGTGGGCCTTCTTCTTTGCCGAGGGACGCACTATGAGGAATCCATGTACAGAGGGGGAAGCTGCCGTGTTGCGCAGCACGGATCCGTGTGTGAGCGAGAGCAACACACACAGAACAAAATATTTCACTATTTTCCCGCGCTTTCTTCGCCGAAACCAACAAACCGTGGTGATTTGATTTTAGAAGAGCTGATTAATTTCTTTTTATTGCTCAAATCCAATTTTGCATCAGTTGTACAATGCCAAAGAGAGGTGGCGGAGGAGGCCGGCGAGGAAGCCCACAGAGGCGAGGGCGGCCAAAGAGACAAGCGGCTGCCGCAGGCGCGCGTGCAGGCGCAACGAATGAAAGCCCCCAAAAGCTGTGGATGGAGGGCGTCCATTCCGAGGAGGATCTGCAGCAAACGCACATTACTCAAATCTACCATCTTGGAGATGAGCCCTGCTCGGAAGGTGTGCTTCCATCATCAAGCGGCACAAGCGTTGATATTGTGTTCTCACCTCGTTAAATGGATTGGCAGAGGGTCACGGGGCTGACAATTGTGAAGATAACCCCAATTGCTTGCTCGGCCTCGGAGAAGGAGGCGAAGGTGTGTGGGCCGAGTGCCCGCCCACTATCGAGGAGCTGGGCAATGATCCTCACGCGCAGGTCAAGCAACCGGACGTGCCTGCCGGCCTTGAGGTACGTCTTTGCACCAGCACCGGCTGTTTCACTGCCGTAGCCACTTCTTCTGATCTCCTGATGATACACCTTGCAGAATCTTGGAGCCACGTGCTACATGAACAACGTCCTGCAGTGTCTCTACATGAACACAGCCTTTCGACAAGGTATTCGTGCGTCACACGCACACACGCACACTGCACACACTATTGGAATTCGCAAACAGAGGCGTGGACCACCGCAGTGCAGATCTGACTGACGCGCGCTTTGTGCATCATGGTCTGGCGACAGGCGTGTACGCGTGGCGCACTGGTGACGATCTCATGGTGGAAGAGGAGACAGCGGCGGAGGCAGAAACAGCCAAGGGCAAGGAGAAACAGCTTGAGGCGGACGCTCAGCAAGCTGTCAACGAAAAAGAAGAGCATTCAAGGGTACCGCTACACTCAGCTTCTCGAAGATTGGTGATCGCAGCGCCACCTCATCCTGTGGCATTCAATTCTGTTCGTTGGTCTCTGTTTATTAATTACCGCAGGGTTCGGTGTGCTCGGAGCTGCAGCGGCTGTTTGCTCTCATGCAAGAAGGCCGCCGCTCTTTCTATACCCCCAAGAGGCTCACCGAGGCGCTGAACCTGAAAACATCCATCCAGCAAGATGCTCAAGAGTAAGTTGCCGCGGCCCCCTCGCCCCAATGATTTTTTTGAATTTTACCATTGCTCGCCCGTGACTTAACGTGGTTTGTATGCGTGCCTGCAGGTTTTACAAGTTGTTCCTCGATTACCTGGAGGAACGCTTCCAGCAGAGTGAGGATGAGAGTATCAAGGAGCTAGTAGGGCAGTTTCAGGGCGAATACGCCTATACCACTGTGTGCCAGGCCTGCAAAACTGTCTCCCAACGGAAGTGCCAGTTCTCAGAGCTCGAGCTCAATCTCAAGGTGAATTCCCTGCACAGGCGATGGCAATGTAAACAATGGCTCTCCTCGCACTCACCTCTTCTTTCGCCCGGTTTCCACCTGGCCGGGTCTGTGTACATCTGGTTATAGGACGCGAAAACCATTGACGACTCCCTGCATAGCTTCTTGGGGGAGGAGCAGCTCACGGACAGCAACCAGTATTTCTGCGAGACCTGCAGCAAATTGCAGGACGCCACCCGGTCCATTGTGCTGCTCAATTTGCCCAAGGTACTCTCTCCCTCTCTCGCTTTCTCGTCTCCCCCATCTTCCCCCTGTGTCAAATTGCTTTCGGTCTTTTTTCCTTGCTCGATCAGCTGAGCCCTTGTGTGCTGATGCTCTTTCTTCTTCTTCCACACAATGTAATTCAGGTGCTAAACCTGCAGCTGATGCGCTTCGTGTACGACATCAAGACGTTCCAGAAGCGAAAGCTGCAAGATTCGATTGCATTTCCGTTGGAGATCGACATGGGCAAGTACATGCAAGAGTTCGACGAACGGTACGCTCTCTCCGACTCCACCTGTCGTGATTGCGTCGCCTCGAGTTGAAAGCCATCTATTCTCATCCGCTTTCCTCCTCCTCCTCTGCCCTCTTCGCTTCTTGTTCCTCCACTCCAGAAGCTCATCACCGCCTTCTTCCCCTCAACCCTGCAGACAAAATGAAGTTGAGAATAAGAGGAGAAGAAAGGGATTGGCCTACGAACTGGTCGGTGTACTGATCCACGTTGGTCCCGGTGCCAACGTGGGCCATTACATTGCCCACACCAGGGATGAAGTGTGCGTCTCCCCCGTTCACTTATGTCACTCGATGTGTTCAGGTGTTCGCTATACTCACGCCGTACCCTATCCTCTGTGGTTTTGCCTGGTACCAGCACGAAGAAGTGGTGGCGATTCGATGATGCTGTGGTGACTCCGCTCGACGAGGCCAAGATCGGCATAGAAAAGGAGCCCAAGAAGAACAAAAAGAAGGGCGCCGCGCTTCCTGAAGGGTAAGCCCCCGGTGGCCAGCACAATTAAACGAGAGCTGCCAAAACGCTCACACGTGGCGCTATCTCCCCATGTTTGTGTTGTTGCATTGTTCAGGATGACCGAATCGTCCAACTCGTACATGCTGATCTACGCTCTCAAGGATAGGGAAACGGTGGCGCAGCCCCAATTGCCCGCTTCTGCTCAAGCCTTTGTGGACATAGGTACGCCGTAGACTACGGTAGACTACCTGGTTCGTATGAGTGACGGCACTCACACTCACCTGGCCATGTGCAGACAACCGAGAGTTCGAAAAGCAGATTGAAGAGTATGACATGAAGGCGAAGGAAGAGCGCGAGCGGATCGAAGCACACAAGCAGAGCTACACCGCCCATTTCTCCACGCTTGGCGTACCACCGGGCACGGTACGCGCATAGTTTTATTTGGATCGTGCTCACTTGCAAGGCGGAACCTCTGCGCTCACCCCAACTGGTGGCTGTCTTCGCGAGCACAGAAGGAGTATAATTGGATCGCCGTGTCGTGGCTACGACAATGGGTGATCGGATCCAAAGAGCTGCCTCCAATAGACAACACTGAGCTCATGTGCGCCCACGACATGCTGGACCCACGCAAACTGTCCCACGCCAAGCGAATCACGCCGGTACTCTCCCCCACACTGTTCTTACCCCATCCATGTGGGCTCGGCGCTGTAGAGACAACTTTACGAACGTCGTCTGGCTGTTGTTTCCTTTGGTCCACCACTAGGAAGCGTGGTCGATGCTGCAGTCCCAGTTCAAAGGCGGACCTGTGCTCAGCCAAGAGTGCTATTGCATGCCCTGTTCCGCTGCTCTGTGCCATGGTGTGTATCTTCTTGCTGAATGCGCTTTTTTATATTTTTATTTATTTATTTTTACAAATGTGAGCAACCCCTCACTGTTGCGACGTGTTCAGAACTGGCTAAGGACGCGGAGTACAACCGAATGAAGGAGACGACACTGAACCTGATCACAGCGGGTCCAGCACCAAAGGGATACATCTTGTCGACATCTTGGCTTAACCGTACGCTATTCTCCGCTGGGGGCCTTGTGCCCTCCGTCTGCTTTAGGGAGAGTGCTAATAGCGTGTCTTTGTGTTGCGCGTTCGCGCTTCAATGCCTGGTGTTCCTTGTGTGGTGTGCGTGCGTGTGGACTACAGAGTGGAAGAAAAAGAGCGAGCCGGAGGATCTGAGTAAAAATATGAACGAGAAGATCACCTGCGAACACGGCAACCTTTGTCCTGCTGGCGGACGAAGAGTAGTCCCAGCACAGGTATGAGGCCGCCACATATGTATTACATTAGACTCGCAGTCATTAGCCTCCTTACACTCGCAAGTGCTTAGCCATCATTGAAACCACGACTCTTGCTACACAGGCGTGGTCGTGGCTTCGCTCCGAGTTCCCGGAAGGAGCCGAGTTCCACTCCTCGGAGAGCGCGTGTAAGGAGTGTATCCGAGACTCGGCGGCCAACAAAGAGGAGCTACAGAATTTGAAGGTGGTCAAAGCCAAGGAAAAGGTGCTCTTTCCCGCTCGTATTGGTAGGAGAAAAGACGACCTGACGGTGCTCTCCTTACGCGAGGAGCAGCGACGGGTCAACGCGATAGCCAACGAAAAGGACGCCAAGCCGGGTTGTCGCTACTACATCATCTCTCAGGAGTGGTTTGGTCGTTGGCGAGCTTGGGTCGAGGTACTGCTCTCCCACCAACACCTTGCCACGTCCCCTCATCAACCAACCAACCAACCAACCAACCAACCAACCAACCAACCAACCAACCAACCAACCAACCAACCAACCACCGCAATTGGTTTGATCATCATGCTATCTTGTTCGCCATGGTACGTAGAACGTGCCGGATACAGACGAACCCAGCCCCATCGCCAACGAATCGCTCGTGTGCTGCCACGACCAGCTGCACATCTCCATTGGGCGGGGGCAGTTTCCGATTGATCCCGACGAAACTGAGTTCCGGCTCGTTACGCCCGAGCTCTGGGCAAAACTGATCAAGAGGTACACCACCAAACACGCCTTGCAGGGGGCGGGGATGGAGATGCATCCGATCATGTCCATGCGCTCCTTGGTCACCATTGCAATGGTGCTGTTCTCCTTCACCTGGTGCAGAAAAGTGGTGGATCGCCCCATCGTGCTCCAGGTAGAGCGGCAAGACGGTGGTGAACTCGTCTTTCGCGTGGACCCAGCCACCTGCCTCGAATGTACAGAAGCGAGACAGAATGCCATACTCGATCAACAGTACAACTACGAAGAAGCCGAAATCGTCGTTACGACAAAGCGACGGACCCCCGCTGGTGGGGGGCGAGCGAGAAGATCCAAAGCAGGTGAGCATCCCCCTCCCTCCCTCCCTCACTCCCGGCACATGCCGCAATTGCGGCGTGGCTAACTTTTTTGCTCCCCTGCGCAGTCAAAACGGACAAAATCACAGTGTCGGCGGACGACACAATCCTCGTGGTGAAGCTCAAAATTTTGGAGAAACTCGAGATCGAACCGAACGAGCAGGTACCTGCCACCCTACACCCCTGCCATGACTGAGAGTCTCTCGCCTTCCCACTCACATCGGCGCACTCCATCATCCCTAAGGCGCTGTTCTTCAACGATGTTGAGCTCAAGGACTCCAAAGCAACACTGCGGCAATTCAAGGTCCCGGCTAAGGCTACCATCTTTATCGAGCGGCGACAGCTCTCCATGGCCGACTACGACATTCTCGATGGCCACGACCAAATCGAAGAGGGGTTCAAGGGTATGACTCCCTGCTCCTTTACTCTCCCCACAGGTTCTGTTCACTGTGGCTTGACTTTTCCTTTCCCCATCCAGGCACCATCTTTTCGCACGAAAAGGCGACGGACGCATCAGGCAGGGAGGAGGCGGGCGCGTCTGCTTCCCCGTCTCCAAGCAGAGCAGAGGCTGAGGACTTGCCCGCGGAGGTCGCGAAGCTGTGGACCTGCGATGTGTGCACCTTCCACAACCCGTACGCTTCCCCCGCCGCCGCCGCCGCCAGCTTGATCACGTGATTGCCTTGTTTACCATCTATCCGTTAGGGATGGCGCCGTCTTGTGTGAGATGTGCGAGAGCCCTCGAACGTAGTCGTGGAAAAACAACAAAAATGCACTCACGGGTTCCTTCACTCGCCTCTCGTCCGTTTCGTTTCGTAAGGGGTTGTGTGCGATTGGCGCTACAAGACACAAGCTATGTGTGAGGGAGCAGTACGCGTCTTGTTGTAGTTGGAAGCAATAGTGGAGGAGCGAGAGCGAAGAGAAGCAACAAAATAAGAGAGGGTTAGGCCCGGCTGAGCGATGGCTCGTCGTAATTCTCGTCAAAGTCCTGCATCTCCACCGGAGCCGTGGTCTCCTGCGCGCCGGAATGGTAAATGAGACATTGTGATCATTACGTGCGGTGCGGCTGTGGTTGTGGCAGACAGAGGGCCTCTGGTCTTTTGTGGTGTTTTCTGAAAAGGGTGGAGCAACATACCTGAACGAGAAGCGCGTACTTCTGTTCGCTCTGGGACTTCTTCCGCCAGAAGTAGACG